AACTTGCCCAAGGTTTCGCCCTGACCTGCCTGGAATTGAACCCAGGTGTTTTGCTTGCAAGGCGAGTGCTCTAACCACTGAGCTACAGGACTCCACTGGATTTACCGGGTAATTTCGTTATGATCCTAAAACTGGGGCGATATTCACTGGAGAATATGAACAGATGTCATAATCAGCAATGTCAGAGGCTTCAGGTGAAATGTTGTTCCGAGGTGCCCGGGTGTCTGACACATGCGGAAACCCATCACCACTCTCAAGAGTATCCAAACTAAACTTAGAATTCCATGCATCCCACCCATGTATGGAAATTTCAGAGATAGGTTGTTGGATTGGAATGAGCTAGAGGGACGCTTCCTGCTTTCCTAATTCCGGAAAGTATTAAAATGTATTAGCGTTAAAGATATCCCCTGACGCAATTGGAAAACAGAAGAGAGTTCCTGTCTCTTCTGGTATCCTGGCTGAAAATCCTAACATAAATTGGGTCATTCACTTCATGGCTGTTTGCAGGACATTGCTGAGTACAAATTGGCTAGCCCCTATAAATAACAGTCCCTAACTACACTTGACACCAATGACCTGTGAAGTGTTTTGAGACATTTTAGATGTTCTATGCATTGTGTGAAATGCACAACTTATTAATTTGGTATTTATTTCAATGTCTTGATATTTCTAATTACCTGAATGGTGGTGTGGGTCAATGATCTATCTGCACATCACTAGGTCACGTCACAGCCCCTTAGCTGCTATTGACTGAAGCCGAGTAGATTTGCGGGGGTGTAAGATGTGTTTGGTGAATGGGGTCTGTATTCTACGTGTGTGGGTAAAAGGTCAGTGACGCATAACACACTATAGAAATACGTGCATGAAAAGCACAAGGAGTTCATTGCAATATATGTATATATATATACTTACACCCCCGTTTGATTCAGATGGACCCATTAAACAAATGAGATTATATGGAGGTTGTCTCAATTTCTGAACCTGTGTACGAGGAGTAAATGATTGTTGGGTTCAGGTACAGTGCAGGTTAGAAATAGCAGCTGACTTTGGAGTGAATACCGGATGGACAGTGTCAAGGGAAACTTTACTCTGTCTCTAACCCGTGCTGTCATGGACCTGGGAGTGTGGACGGACAGTGTAGAGGGAGTTATATTCTAAAGTATGGGCGTGTCTGCAAATCATTCTAATATTGGAGATCAATAAAATTACTATTAACCAGTCTAGTAGCATAACATCATACAGGTCAAAAGAGTAACCAAGTTTGTTCAGAACAAAACTGATTTAAAAATAAAAATAAATGAAATTTCTCCACTGGATGAGAGGCAAATGCTAGACTGCATTCCAGAAATTGGGAGGGTCTTGCTGGATTGCTAAAGAATTCCATTTACTTCAGTCTTCAGAAAACTGTCCAATGTAATACAGATATCTCAGCAGCTACAGTACGGCCACAGTATTTTCAATTAAATATTACCAATACAGCACTTGTTCTGCATGTGCCAGACATATGCAGAAACCCATCAACATGCTTAAGACTATTCAAGCCACACAGAGTTCTATGCATGTCACCTACAAATGGAAATTCCTGTGCCTGAAATAGAATATGCACTCTTTCTCTAGAGGGACACACCCTGCTCACCTAATTCCACAGAATATTAGGTTCAGGTTGGCAAGAGCCAAGGCTTGGGGATGTCAGAATGTGAATTGAGGCACTTGTAATGTAAAGTGTAATGATTGTATATTTTGTAGACTAACATGTTTGCGGGTATGGCAATATCCTGCAAACAGCCATTAAGTGAATGGCTAATTTTGTTTGGTGGATTGTTGGCCAGGACACTAGGAGAAATAAAATAACTACTTGCATTTATATAATGTCCTTCAGGCAGGATAGTGTCTCAGCACGCTGTGAAATACTGTACAGTATGCCTACTAAGTACATTTTTTGGTCATGTTAGAAGTATTGATATTGGTTTTCCGTCCCCCGCCTCGCCAATTTAAAGACAACAACAACAAAATTACATTTGTATAGTGCCTTTCACGTTGGGAGGACGTCCAAGGCGCTGGACAGACAGAGTTACAGAACAAGTGCTGGGGATCGGGGTGGGGGAGGGTGGAGGGCAGGGGGGGACCAGGGAGATCGAAAGCACGATTGAAGAGGAGGGTCTTGAGGTGGGTCTTGAAGGTGGCGAGGGAGGGGGCGAGATGGAGGGACTGCGGGAGGGAGTTCCAGAGAGTGGGTGCAGTATGGCGGACGGCCCGCCCGCCAATAGTGGGACGAGCAAGGCGGGGGACGTGAAGCAGGCCGGAGCCCACCGAGTGCAGGGAGCGAACAGGGTGGTAGGGGGTTAGGAGGTCGGAGAGGTAGGGGGGAGCAAGACCGTGGATGGCTTTGAAGGTGAAGACCAGGATCTTGAACTGATGGGAAGCCAGTGGAGTTGGGCAAGGATGGGAGTGATAGGATTGTGGAGCCTAGTTTGGGAGAGGACACGGGCTGCAGAGTTATGGATGATCTCTACACTATTTTAATGGACATCTGAAGTCATGCAGTTTTAAAATCTACTGTGGCAAAGATTTCTGCAGATTTTAATTGGCTAACCAAATGCAATCATTCAATAAAACGTACAGAACAAAAAGGCACAAAATAATGTCAAGCTTTCAAGAGATATGTTTTTAAATGCTTGGAAATAGAAGCAGCAACTGCTGGGAGCGTGCAGTACCTTTCTTACTTCAATTCTTAATGAATACAGATTGTCTAAAAATAGCGCGGACAGCAGTATCCAGCGAGACTGATCCAGCTGGTTTGACTGACAGCGAACAGTGTTACCAAATGTAACCCATCCGGACAAGAGATCTCAAGGACGGCTTCCCCGCGCGGCAGATGGCGCTGAGGTTAGTGACAGACAGACCCTGAGCTTCACAGATGCCTCTGTCGGAAGAGGAGACCAAGGTGGCCAGTTCTGTCTTTGCCTCTCATTCATTCCATGCTTGTTCTTATTTAATTCTCGTTCTTTTTCTCTCTTTCTCTGTTTTGCACTCTATAAGGAGGGGCTCTCCCTTTATATCTCTCTCTCTCTTTTTGTATCCCTCTCTATATCTCTCTCTCTCTCTCTTTATATCTGTGGAGTCTTGTAGCTTAACGCTTAGAGCACTTGCCTCACAAGCGAGAGACTTGGGTTCGATTTCCGGCAGGGCGAAACTTTGGGCAAGTTCCCTTTTGCTCCACTCCTCTGTTTACCCAGCAGAGGTAGTTGCATTGTTGGATCGCTTTCCCGGGCGGAATAATCCCTTCAAAACAATGAAATAAATTGGTCACTCAATCCACGACTGTTTGTGGGACGCTGCTGTGCGCAATTGACTGCTGTGTTTTTCGCCCACAAAACATAGTCAATGCACTTCACAGTATATCGTGTGAAGCACTTCGAGACGTCTCAACGACGTGGTAAGGCACTATAATAATAATAATAATAATAATCCTTGCATTTGATATAGCGCTTTTCACGTCGGGAGGACGTCCCAAAGCGCTTCACAGAACACACTGTAAAGTGAATGGACTGTATATTTGTGGGCGAACGCGGCAGCCAATTGCGCACAGCAATGTCCCACAAACAGTCGTAGATTGAAAATGACCAATTTATTATTGTTTTTGTTTTTGCAAAAAAAAATGCAAGGATTATTATGCATTACCATACCTCTCTCGATATCTTATATTTATATTATACGTCTTCTCCACTCCCACCCCTCGCCTCCCCTTCAAGTTTTTTTGTGGAATCGCCTCTGTTTACCGAGCAGTAAGCAGGAAGCCGGTTGTTAGCCGACCGGCCGCTCGCTTTCCGGGGCTAATAATCCCTTGAAACAAAAACCCCACTCGGAACCACGACAGGTTTGCGGGGAGGCTGCCGGGCGCAATCGGCTGAAGCCTCTTTCCGCCCACGAAATGTGCTCCCCCCCCTACCTACCTCTCCGACCTCCTAACACCCCCCACAAAATGTCTCGACGGCAGCGCGGTGTGACCGGCTCGCGAGACGTCTCGAAGCCGCGGTCGAGGCGCGAGGATTATTCCCGTCGAAGCAACAATAGTTATTGTCACTGTTGTACCTCTCTCACTCTCTGGGTGTGTTCTGCACTGTACGGAGGAGAGAGGGGACTCTTTTGATCACCTTTGTACCTGAAGCACCTGAACCAATCACAGCGGAGGGGGGGGGGGGGGGACGAGGACGCGCGTGCGCAGTCGACACTCTGGACCCCCCCACCTCCACGGGCCGGGGGAGGAGTGGGGGGGGGAGGAGCTGTCGCACAGCCACCGCCGAGAGTCTCTCTGTGTGTGTGTGTGTGTGTCTGGAGCTCGCACTTTGGTCGCCGCGCTGTCATGGCGGAGCGGACGTGAGAGGGGAGGGGGAGACGCCAACCGTCGCCGCGGCCGCGAGAGACGACACGAGACGCGACGCGACGCGACGCGGCTCTCGGTCGCTCGAGAGGGATTTTAAACCGAGCTGACAAGGGGGCGCGCGCGTGCGCACTGCCGCGGAGCTTCAACAGTTCAGGAGCAGCAGCAGCAGCAGAGCAGCAGTAGCAGCGTTCAAGGAGCGGAGGGAGCGAAGCGAAGCTGGACTCTGGCTCAGGGCAGCCGCCGAGCCGAGCCGAGTCCTGTCCCCAGTCGTTCCTTCTCTGGATACCAGTTCGTTGGAGTTGCTTCGCGTCTTTTTTTTTTGCACACCCCCGTTTTTTTAAAAAAAATCTTCATTACACACACACACACACACACACAGACGCACACACACAACACACACACACACAGACACATAGAAATCCCCGACCCGGATCGCCATGTCTACCGGCGAGAATCACCAGCAGTCGTCGGACTCGGGCGGCGGTGGAGAAGGAGGAGGAGGCCAACCTGAACCCGCGCCACCTGCACCTGCGCCCTCCCCGTTAGCGGCGCGGGCGGACCCGGGGCAGCGCTCTCAGTCCGCCGGCTCCTCGGCCGCCGTTGCCGCCGTCGCCGCCGCCGCCTCGCTGGGCCTCAACCCACCCCTACCCATCCGTGGGATCCGGATGAAATTCGCCGTGTTGACGAGCCTCCTGCGAGCCGGGGAAGTGACCAACAGGGACATCGTGGAGACCGTCTTCAACCTGGTAAGAGTGCCGGCGTGAGGTGGTCGGTTTGCCACTGTCCTCTCCTCGGGAGCACCAGCCCTGACCTTTATGATTCATTTGTTCCCGTATCGGCACAAACCACCGGATCACCTTTGCGATCAAACTCCCTTTTATTACGCAGCAACAACAACAACAAGGAATGCTCGCTGGTTAATGCAACTGTCTTGCAAACGATCGGGGAGGAAAGACAGTTTTTTGTTCTGTACCCCGGGGGTGGGGGTGATGGGTGGGGTGATGGGTGGGGGTGATGGGTGGGGGTGATGGGTGGGGGTGATGGGTGGGGGTGATGGGTGGGGGTGATGGGTGGGGGTGATGGGTGGGGGTGATGGGTGGGGGTGGGGGGGGGGGGGAGCGGGGAAGAGAGGGCAGAGCGGTGTTTTTTTTTTAAAAAAAAATTTTTAATAGAGAAAATCTATTTTCGCGTGTGAATAAAATACACGTTTTGAAGTTTGGGATCAGGTGTCGCGCTGAAGAGAGCAGCAAACGCCGTGTGGCTTAAATGGAGAAGTCAGAAGCATTCTCTTTCTGGTACTGGAGTTAAGGCGGTTACAGCACTGTTTCGGGAGACGCGCGCGTGTGTGTGTGTGTGTGTGTATATATATATATGTATCTCTGTGTGTGCAAAGGGTGGGACGCGATCAAATTCTGTCTTCGGCCTAATTTGTGAACGAGCACCTGACACAGGTCGGGTTTGTGTGAAGGTGGCCAACGCGGAAGTGGAAACTGCACCACGGTATATTCGGTTGGAATATTACAACATGGTTTCATGTTTTGAGTGGGGGGGGGGGGGGGGCGGAGGGAGGAGGGAGTGGGGGGGGGTGGGGCTGGAGGGAGGAGGGAGTGGGGGGGTGGGGGTGGGGGGGGAGGGAGTGGGGGTGTTGGGGGGAAGAGGGAGTGGGGGTGTTGGGGGGGGAGAGGGAGTGGGGGTGTTGGGGGGGAGGAGGGAGTGGGGTGGTGGGGGGGAGGAGGGAGTGGGGGGCTGGGGTGGGAGGGGAGGGAGTGGGGGTGGTGGTGGGGGGGAGGAGGGAGTGGGGGGTGGAGGGAGGAGGGAGTGGGGGGGTGGGGGGGAGGAGGGAGTGGGGGGGGTGAGGGGAGGGAGTTAGTGGAGGGGGTGGTGTGGGGGTGGAGGGAGTGGGGGTGGTGTGGGGGTGGAGGGAGTGGGGGGTGGTGGGGGAGGGAGTTAGTGGGGGGGGGTGGTGTGGGGGGTGGAGGAGGGAGTGGGGAGTGTGGTGGTGGTGGGGAGGGAGTTAGTGGGGGGGGAGGAGGGGGTGGTGGGAGTTAGTGGGTGGTGGGACGGGGGAGGAGGGAGTGGGGGGGAGGGATGATTTGAACGAACCTTTTTTAAAAAAACTTTCATATGTCACTTGAAATTTTACACACTATTATCTCATTCATGTTACAGTTCAAACACACCTTCCCATGGGCAGGATGTTCAGCGTATCGATAGTATTTGACTGCCTTTCAAAAAGAAATAAGTTCTTTATTAATGGTGACAGGTTGCGTTGGTTTCAGGAGGTGTCGCTAATGTTGTAGCGGTAGAATCGATTGTTTCCAAAGTGGAAGCTTTGAAATGTTTTCTGTAAATATTGATGGAAGACAAGGCAGGAACTCTTCAATAACGCCAGATAACACGTTCGGTTTTAATGTTACTCGTTTTTCTAAGATCTCACTTTTAGATTAATTAAGTTCTGGATGAAACATAAACTCATTGGCTTTACATTGGTTGAAATTAATAGGTGATGATCATTTATACAGAAACTGTTAACATTAGATTTAGAATTAACATTCTAAAAGTAAGGTGCTCCCCGTGTTAGTTGTACAATTGCTCGGGGCATTGCATGCTGCCAAGGACAGCACTTGTAACAAATGGGAAGGTGAAAACTACAGTAAAAGGCCTGTCATCTATGACTTGGGTATATATAGTTGACTGTCGGATACAGGCTAGAACTTACACCTGGAAATTTTGGAAATACTCTCAGCTTCAGGCTTGATGCTTTAACATACTCATACAAATTGAAGCTGATAATATCCAGAATTAATTGCATTAATTGTCACCCAATCAACTGTACTAACATTACATGAAAGCATGCTCAAATTATGCTTTGGATCATGACCTGCATAATTGGAGTATCTTTCATCTTTAATCAGGAATACATTTTGTCAAGACTCCACTGTAATGCTATGTGCTTAGTCTCAAAGTTCGTGAGATGCAGGTACTGTGAATGTCAGACATTCATTTATGGAAGGTTTGTTGGCAGTTATAGCATATAAGTAATGGATTCATGCTGTTCTTCCTGGTTAGGACTTTGAACCTCAGCTAATTAAAATAAATTATCAGATCTAAATAGATATTTCATTAAACTATACTGTTGAACCGGAAACCTAAGTTCCAATAGTTCACAATAGTGACTTGTTGTTTTCCTTTTTAATCATTAATTCAAGTCATAGTTTTAAACAGATGTTTACTTACCCTTAAGTTTTATGGTTTTGGCTGGGATGTCTTATACTAAAACTCAGAAAGGTGCAATGTGCAGCCCCTTCCCACCATCCAAACAATTTAAACTAGTAGTTATCCACCACTAGTCAAATGGTGCTGGCACTGCCTAATGATTAGGCAAACCAGTTGGGCACATTAAGGGTGCTCTTGGATTATAAAGGAGGAAGATTAGTAGTAAAAATGAAAGGGCAAAGTCTTTCACAATATGTGTAATTAAAGTTTGAGTGTCAGAAAAATTGTGCAATTTGCAATTTTTAAAAAAAACGTGTGGTCAATTGTGGGTGATGTCAACAGTTAATAAAATACTTAAATGGGATTATCTGTGTGAAATTGATCTGTATGAAAATAGTTTGTCTACATCGGTTGTACTTTTTGTACCTAACAAGGAATCATGTACTGGATGCAGATATTAGTAATTACAGATTTCAGAGCAATAACTCCTTCCATTTAAATGAAATTATATCGTCTCCATTGGCTAAATGAAAATGAGTCCTGTACCATTGTCATTTTCTAGCACAGGGGTGTCAGAAGAAACTGCCAAAGTTAAGCATTTTTGAAGGTCCTCAAGACCTGAAAGGTGCTATATAAATGAAAGTTTGTATTGTAAAGTGGAATGATAGATTAATCCTATAGATTAATTGGCCATTCACCTCACTTGTGGAACCTTGGTGGCAGACATGCCTGCCCTGTTTGTTTACAAGAAAAACCCACTGCACTTGGTCATCGCTTGTGAAGCAATTTGAAAATTTTGTAAAAAGGTGCTATTTAAATTCAAGTTTTTTCTTCTTGATGATGTAACGTACTGATTCTCCTTTTGCTGATACTAGTCTACAACTTTTAACAGATTGAGCAAGAGACTGAAACTGTGCTATAAATTATAGTAATAAGCTTAAGGGAGGAACTTTGATAGGATTCTATATATACATTTGTACTTTCTATTTCAAGCAATTCATACCTGGGGTAGTTGCATATGGTACAAATGAGCATCTGAGGTGCTCCAAATGTAATTTGAAAATGGCACACTGACAACGGATTCATTATTTTTCCTAATCACAAAATTAAAGCAAAGACCGTTATCTCATAATCTTTTATATATGTAAATTATGCTTAAACAGCTGTTGTAGAATTCTGACTTACTATTGCTGACTAATGATTTAGAACTAGCGTTGGTTCAGATATAATACATAATGATCAAATAGTTAATGGAAAATTGCAGGGATACGAATACATTTAGATTTTTTTCCCCTCTAAAATAAACATTAGAATTGCATTGAATCACAAGAAATAAGATCTTCTGTGCATGCGGGCTGTAAGGTTTTTTTAAAAAAACTTGTTTATGGAAGTGAATGCTCAGGTGAAAAATAATATATATTAAATAATTTTTTTAACTAGAAGTTGTACCTCAACTACATGTAGCATTTTGTTGAAACGATTGCCTTGGATGGATTAGGCCATAGATGAGCCTCATGGATAAGAAATGTAATGGTTTAAATTTTGTGCAAGCAGCCAGGCAGTCCTAGCGGTGATACAATTGATATGAGTGTCTCCAGGATGGATGATGAATGATCCGGTAGGAAAGATGTGAATTCAAGTATGAAAGAATTATTCTGAGAATTATTCAGTAGAGGGAACCTCCTGGCCAGTTGTGCATGCTTTTGTAAAAATAAAGGGGAGGGCAAGTCTACTGTAGTCTTCTTTTAGGTTCTTCCATTGTGCAATTAGTTGACTCAGATGGTTAGTGGCGATGCCAACTGGTATCAACAGAGTGCAGTGTATTTTTTTTTTAAAAATCGAAAAGGTCAGTAGCATTTCTGACCATTTTTGATGGTATCTTTACCGAGAGCCCTAGTAGACATTGGAAAGGGTTGGCCTCTATTCTAACAGTATTTTATTTTTATGAAGTACAGTAAAACGTGCATAAGTCTTATCTTTATAAATTGTATAATCGCTTAAGTCGTACATGCACCCGAGTCCCATTCAGTTTCCTATCAAAACCACTTAGATTTATTTTCATTAGTCGTATTTATCATCTCTTAACTAGTAACTCTGCTTCCTTATCCTCCATTACTCCAGCACTTACTGGCTGCATTAAATCGTGGGAAACGTAGTCTTGATCTGTTGCCGCATGCACAGAAGATTTTGTTTCCCGTGATTCAATGCAATTCTAATGCTTTCTGATAAGTGCCCACGGGCAACGGGTCAAGACGCATTAAGTCGTGGGAATCTTACTCTTGACTGTCACCACATGCGCACTTACCGGCTGCAGTGACAAAATACTGTGTGCACACTTACTGGCTTCACTGAATTACGCACATGCAGGTTTAGAGTTTTTTTGTTTACTTTTTATCTGTGAGTTCACTCTGGGTGGTGTGTGTGTGTGTAAAATGAGAATTTAAACTTTTTTTTCAAGAGTGGAATATTCCTTCATAAAGGCATCAAATTGGTGTCAAAACTGTTTCTGTTTTGGTCTTCTGTTCATATA